ATGGAAATGGGGTCAAGGTGATGGAATTGGGGTCAAGGTGATGGAATTGGGGTCAAAGTGACGGAAACAGGTTCAAGGTGACGGCAATAGGGTCAAGGTGGCACCAGTGCAGACAAGGCAGTGGCAAGGGGCACAGTGTGGCACCAGTGGGGACGAGGTGGTGGCCTCACCCAGCCCCTCCCCACCACACACAGCTGGGTTCCCACCTCCCCTCCCTCCATCCAGGTTTCCTCACACCAGGGGCGGTATCACAGTGGGAAGGGACAGGCAAACTGATCCCACCCCAGCCTGTGAGGCCTTTTCCGCAGGGAAGTTCCCCTGGGAGGAGCCCCTGGCTCCATCTCACCCTCCTTCACCCCGCTCTGGTGTGGTTGGTGTCCCAGTCCTTCCACAAGCACCAGGAATCCCCTCCTGCCATCCCCTCACCCAGAGGGGCAACCAGAGCCCAAACCCCTCCCCGCCGGCAGCACCCACATGGCAGCTCCACCAAAACCAGCCAAAACCATGGAAACCTCAGGAAAAATGACCAGGGGGGCTGGAGCATCCCGGCAGTGGGAGCGGGACCCTCGGCCGTGCTGACCACCCAGAGCCACAGCCCAGCAGCTTCCCAAAGCACAAATCCCACCCCAAATCCCTCTGGCACGTCCCTCAAGGCCAGCTGGGCTCTCCCCTTCCACCATTCCATGATCTCCATCCCGAGCAGGTTGGATCTGGTGGGATTTTCCCACTTACCCTGCAGTGGGGGAACGAGGTCTGTGCTCCCATCCCTGGGCTCTGAGCCATGAAATCCCACCAAAACCAGGTTCTGGGAAGCAGCACGGACTCCCAGCTGCCTCCTGGCCCCTATTTTTTTTTTGTTTCAAACTCCAAATATTTTTTTCTTTGCAAATAAAATTTTCCGGGGGGGGGTAATTAAAAAAAAAAAGAGAGAGAGAAAGAGAGAAGGGAAAAAAAAAAAGGAGAAAGGGAAATAAACCCCAGCAATCTCAATTTCACAATATTGGTCAAATATAATTTACTGGAGGGGGGGAAATGTTTGTTTTAATTTGGGATTTGGCACGTTCGCTCTTATTTTTGTTGCAGAAAACAAACACCCCCCTCATGGCCACATCCCTCGGTTTTATGGGATGCAGATAATTCCATGTTAACTACCAGGAATCAGATATCCCATGGGTTACGGGGCAATTGTAGAATCCAGCCAGAGCCTAAATATTTTCAGCTGGGCTATAAACAACGCCAAGATAGGAAAAAGAATAGTTTGGCCATATAAGGAGGAAAGAGGATGGAATCCCAACGGGCCCGAGACACCGTGGTGATAACCACCGGAGCGGGATGGGAGCTGGGAGAGGCTGGTGGGAGCACTGGGAGCACCAGAGGGGGATGGCACCAGCTCTACCTGCTGCTGATTCCCATCCCATGGAGACAAGGAAGAGCCGGGCTCCCCATCCTGCAGGAGAGTGATGGAGGGTGTTGGAGGATGATGGGGGATGATG